GATGATTCTAAATTGTCTGAAGGTGTGAATGTTAGTATGGTTGGTTGTCTGTCTCTAAGTGTAGCCCTGTGATAGACTGGCGACCTGTCCAGGGTGTCTCCTGCCTTCATCCTAAGTCGGCTGAGATAGGCTCCAGCCTATCTTCACACACTATTTTCACACACTATTTCACTCTGTTTACACACCAAAACTACTTAGTTAGGTTTTGGAAATTATTGTGGTTTTGGAAACACAGTCCCTTTTAAAACTTATGTTACAAGAGAAAATTTTGCTTATCTGAAAAGGAGCAATAGTCACATTACCAGCAGACAACATTTGGCTACAGAGTTTTGGCATCTGTTTCTGACAGATCAGACAACCCTCTGGATTGAAAAATGACAATAACGGGTACCGAGTACGTTCAAATATGATGTTGAAAGGCCCTGACCAAGTGGCAGAATGTGACGAGCTGGGAATGAGACCAGGCTGTACCCTATGTCACAACAGAAAAAGAAATTGAAATAGAGTATTAGATTCTTATTGCAGACTGACTGTACATATTCATCAGAAAGGCAAAAAGTGTCCCAATAAGAAATTTATCCAAGAGTAACAAAGTGGATTAAGTTGTTTCGGGCTTCCACGGTTCCTGATAGGGAAAGTGTTCCTCATTTTCTGCATTGACAATGTTTGGTCACTCTGAGCGGTTCCAGACCACTGAATTACCCATATTTGTAGTTTGTTCAGCAGTTTCAATGGATCTAGTCTTGTCCCTAAATTGTTTGAGAAACAGTTAAGGTTAGGATTAAGGGTCAGATGCAGAACTGAAGCACCATCACAATAATTTTCTACAGAAAGCTTGCCAGCTCAATACATCCACAAAAGCATGAATGAAACTAACCAAGTTGTACCAGTTGTTGTAAATCTTTGTACAGAAATTTTGAACTCTGACGTCATCATTTTTTTTGATTAATGTAAAAGACATTACACTAGCTTCTCTGTGCCAACAGGAAGTGACATAGGTGAGATGAATATGCTAGCTGTTACTGGTTGGTTGGAGCAAAATGGAATGAACCACTCCCTCTCTCACAACTGGACAACATAAATACAACAGGCTGAAAGAATTAAATTTACCAACATTATTAGAATAGGCAGCTACATATGTCATAAATGTTCACAGTTAAATCGTCAGAACTAAAGAAAAAAATCATTCCATTAGACCAGCAGTCTAAGGTAAACGAATAAGAAAATGAAACAACAGTTAATTAACATCGTGCCACATTCAATACTGTTATGCTGCTAATGTAGACTTTAGCTCAAGAAAGAATAGTTCCCTATTAGATTGTGTGTCAATGTTGGATCAGTTTAGCAGCTACACAGTGGATCGCTCTAAGATTGCTACAGCTCTGATTCACGCCTCCAGGAAGTATCTTCGCCATAGCAACAGCTGCTGAGGCTAATGGTTACCATAGTATTTGGAGCAATTTGCCATAACAAACAGATGGAATAAAACATGACTTCCCAAGCATAATAAATAAATAAATGAATAATTACAACTGATGATCAGAAACCTCCAGAAAGGCATTGTTACATTATTCTGAAGACTTCCATGTTGCTACGTTGAGAAGAACTGGTGTCCGTAAAAAAATATTTTAATGCTAATTTACATTGGCTGAACATTTGACCCTTTCCCCTTGAACGAAACACTGGCACACCTTCTGCTACAAACCTCTAGGTAACTTTTTGAAACCAAAGCTCTGTTATAAATCACTCTTATGTAAAATTACTTCCTGATTTATCTACCATAAAATAATATTTTGAGCCTAAAACAACAACCACCGGGGAGCTGTGTTAGATGTGAAAGAATAAGAAACAGGCACCTTCTGGGGAAAAAAATGTGAGTGTGCGGCACAACAGATGATTGGGTAATAAAATCAATGAAGAGGATGTGTGTGCATGTGCTTGTTTGTATGTAAGAGGTACAGATAAGCAATTCACTGGGCTTTGTCACCTGTTTAACGTACTGCTAAAACCCCACAACAATGTCATCAAAAACCACTGCCTGAACACCTGTCACACATGATAGATGGACAGTAGATGAGTGGAAATACCTGTTGTGTCAATGAGATGTAAGCATTATGGCCTTTCAACTACCAATAAGTGTGGTAGTTAAGGCCTCGGTCACAACTGGATGCACAACTTTTGGGATCATACGTCCTCTGAATTTTGAGTCCATTGAGGTCGTGGAGGTCATTGAGGTAGAGGGAAAATTTGCAAGGGCTCTGTCAGAAATGCGTAAGAGAGGAGCAAGCCTGCCTTGTGAGTCGCACGTGAGATGTCTGTTCAATTGCAACGTGCGATTGCCATGGAAATTGTACTCACTTCTAGAGTTTGTCTTGCCACCTGCGTACATGGCACACATTCACCACTTTGAAGAGAATGGAACGCACAGAGAACTTCAGTCACACTTGTCTCACGCGCTCGTGATGATGTACTGACAGCGTATGTCAGTTTGGTGTGATTTTCAAAAAACAAAAGAAGAACAAAAACAAAACAGAGACACTTCGGTGATCAGGTGATAGGCTGTCTTGTAAATTCTGCTAACATACCAACAGGGTTTGAGCTTAGGGACGTCCCGTCATCCCAGGGCGATAAAACAAACAAACAAACAAACGAAAAAATAGATCCAGGACGATACAAACTGATTTCAGGACAAAAGTTAAAACTTCATAACAAATGGTGATGGAAATAAATATGATTTCATGCTTTGTGTAGTACACACACAGAACCTGGCAACTTGGCGGTGACAGGTCGCCTGTCACCCCAGTACTGACTTCCAGCTGATACCGGCCATCAGCATCTCCAGTGACCGACCCGCTCCTCCAACGGAGACACAGACTAGCTGTAACATTGATATATATTTGCTAATGATTACGTCTTAAAAACATAAATGTTATTTGTCCAATATAGTGTGAGATCTGTGCATCAGCGATAAAGCCATCAGTCGTGCTGTGTGTGTGTCTGAAATGTAAGAAAACGCTGCTTGTATTCTGTGTGTGTGAAAACATTTGGCCGCTGTGCCATTGATGATGAATAATGAGTGTGATCAGATGCAGTGTTTTCATCCATTCATACTGAGTGGCAGTGACAGACATGAAACATGCAGCCGCACCAGGTAGCGCTGTGCTGTCCAGAGTCTTGAACTGTACATCTGTATAAAAGGCTTTTGAAATAACATAATCCAAGACAAAATAATTTATTTTTTAATGTTTGTTTGATGTTATTAGATTAATTCAGTTTAATAATCTGACTTTGTTACGCTCCTGCTCTTGTCTCTAATCTTTTCACATGGATTTGTAGAAAATCCTGCCGCTGCTTCAGACATTAAAATGCACTCATTTGCAAAGGCAGATTTACTTAAAGCAGTACAAAACTGACTATAATATGATACATCAATCGTCAATAATGCAATTGACGATCACTGGTGAAACATAAGTGTGCGCCGTGAGCGCGCCTTTTATACTCCTGGCGTGGGGTGATTCATGCCTGCCGTGCGTTCGATTTTGTTCATGAGTTGTGAGTATGTGTGCCATGCTTTACACACAAGCAGCACTTGCTATCTCATTGCGTGCGACGTGCGTCTTAGACCATAAATTTTCTTTCCATGGTGCCTTAAAATTTTGCACGTCTCACTCGCAAACTCTTTGCAGGGGGAACAAGTTACTCTTGCTGCGTCGCTGTTTGCAGAGAATTCGTAGAATCTTTTTGACATGTCAAAGATCCTCTCTACGGGCTTACGGGCTGTCTGCGACCTCGGAATTTTTCTAGATGGACTTGCGTGGCACGTACCATTTTGCACGTATTTTGAAGGAGCCCATACGGCTGGTTGTGACCGAGGCCTAACAGCTTCCTCCCATCTTTTGCTGCTGTAGCACTTCCCTCTTCAGCAACCTCCCCATGGAGAGGCTGGTGTTACTCTATTCTGATCCTCAAGGAAAGGGCAAATAGAATTACTCCATTTCAAGTAAAATCCTTGAATGTTTTTTTTTTTTTTTTTTAACTAAAGAAAGAATACAGAAGTATATGCTTAAGCACATGACAATAGCACATTCAATGGGCTTTAGACCTGTGTATGAGATGATGATCTTTCTGATAGTTAAAGCAAAATAAACATTAAAACATAAAATGCCATCAAACAAGCGACATGCAAGCACACAAACATCCATCCATTCAATATCTATCCACCGCTTAATCCTCACTGGGGTCACAGGGGGGCTTGAGCCTATCCCAGCCGACTTAGGGCGAAGGCAGGGGACACCCTGGACAGGTCACAGGGCTACATTTAGAGAAAGACAACCATGCACACTCACATTCACACCTACAGATAATTTAGAATCACCAACTAAACTCAACATGCTTTTGAACTGTGTGGGAGGAAGCCGGAGAACCTGGAGAGAACCCACGCTGCACGGGGAGAACATGCAAACTCCACACAGAAAGATCCCGGTGTCCCCACCGGGATGCAAACCACCAACCTTCTTGCTACGAGGCAACGGTGCTAACCACCGAGCCACCTTGCAGCCCAGCACACAAACACAGCAACCAAAACCCAGAGAAATACATAGTAGCTGCAGCGAAGATGACTTCGACACATGGACAAAATTGTTGGCACCCCTCGGTCAATGAAAGAAAAACCCACAATGATCACAGAAATAACTTGAATCTGACAAAAGTAATAATAAATAAAAATTCTATGAAAATTAAGCAATGAAAATCAGACATTGCTTTTGAACCGTGGTTCAACAGAATTATTAAAAAAAATAAACTCATGAAACAGGCCTGGACAAAAATGATGGTACCCCTAGAAAAGACTGAAAATAATGTGACCATAGGGACATGTTCAATCAAGGTGTGTCCTCTAATCAGTATCACAGGTGTCTACAAACTTGTAGTCAGTTGGCCTATTTATAGGGTTACAAGTAGTCACTGTGCTGTTTGGTGACATGGTGTGTACCACACTAAACATGGACCAGAGGAAGCCAAGGAGAGAGTTGTCTCAGGAGATTAGAAAGAAAATTATAGACAAGCAAGTTAAAAGTAAAGACTATAAGACCACCTCCAAGCAGCTTGATGTTCCTGTGACTACAGTTGCACATATTGTTCAGAAATTTAAGATCCATGGGACTGTAGCCAACCTCCCTGGATGTGGCCGCAGGAGGAAAATTGATGACAAATGGAAGAGACGGATAATACGAATGGTAACAAAAGAGCCCAGAACAACCTCTAAAGACATTAAAGGTGAACTCCAAGGTCAAGCTACATCAGTATCAGATCGCACCATCCGTCGTTGTTTGAGCCAAAGTGGACTTCATGGGAGACGACCAAGGAGGACACCATTGTTAAAAACAAACCATAAAAAATGTCAGGCTAGAATTTGCCAAACTGCATGTTGACAAGCCACAAAGCTTCTGGGAGAATGTCCTATGGACAGACGAGACAAAACTGGAACTATTTGGCAAGGCACATCAACTCTATGTTCACAGACGCAAAAATGAAGAATATCAAGAAAAGAACACTGTCCCTACTGTGAAACATGAAGGAGGCTCTGTTATGTTCTGGAGCTGCTTTGCTGCATCTGGTACAGGGTGTCTTGAATGTGTGCAGGGTACTATGAAATCTCAAGACTATCAAGGTATTCTAGACAGAAATCTGCTGCCCACTGTCAGAAAGCTTGGTCTCAGTCGCAGGTCATGGGTCTTGCAACAGGACAATGACCCAAAACACACAGCTAAAAACACCCAAGAATGGCTAAGAGGAAACATAGGACTATTCTGAAGTGGCCTTCTATGAGCCCTGATCTAAATCCTATTGAACATCTGTGGAAGGAGCTGAAACATGACATCTGGAGAAGGTATCCTTCAAACCTGAGACAACTGGAGCAGTCTGCTCATGAGGAGTGGACCAAAATACCTGCTGAGAGGTGCAGAAGTCTCATTGACAGTTACAGAAATCATTTGATTGCAGTGATTGTCTCAAAAGGTTGTACAACAAAATATTAAGTTAAGGGTACCATCATTTTTGTCCAGGCCTGTTTCATGAGTTTATTTTTTAAAATAATTCTGTTAAAGCACACTTCAAAAGCAATGTCTGATTTTCATTGGTTAATTTTCATAGAATTTTTTTTAATTACTTTTGTCAGATTCAAGTTATTTCTGTGACCATTGAGGGTTTTTCTTTCATTAACCGAGGGGTACCAACAATTTCGTCCACGTGTGTATTTAATATATAGGCTATGAAATGCAAGGTATGCCAACAAACAGACCCACCAGGAAAATTCCTGAACTTTCCAGTGGCCAGTTCATGTTGGAATCTGTGAGCTGTTACAGTTTGGCTCAAAAACTGTAACTGCTGGTTCTCCTGGAGAAAAACAGCTCCTGTAAGAGAGAGCCTGTTAGAACGAGAGACCGAGAGAGGGAATGATGGTAGCCTTATATAGCTGAGCCACTGGGCCCAGGTGTGGCTCAATCAACAGACAACCCTCTACTCAGCCTCTGCAGCAAGAAAACACAGGGACACCTGGGGGGCTGGTGGAGGGTCGTCACAGAGCGAAGAAGCAGAGCATCGTGGTGCTAAATTGCCTCCTCGTTCAGTGTTTCTCTTTAGAAACAAGGAGGAGAAGATTGGCTGCTGCTGTCTCTTACACTTACTAGCTTGAGTGTCTGATGCGAAAATCATCCACTGCAAACAATGAAGGAATGCAGTGTTTTAAAGATGCTCATAATCCTTGCAAAATGTGCAGAGATTCATAATGCTGTCCTGTGCACACAGTGTCTGCCGTGCACAAACAAGGGATGAACAGCAAGCAGACCATGAGGAGATAGTCACTGAATTTGACAAAAAAAAAGTGTATGGTATTAGAATAGCTTACTCTACATTTACTGTGTAAATGGAAGATCAATTTTGTGGAAGGAGCTGAGCTTAAAGGCACTGAAAACCTGACAGCCATGTTTTTATATCAGCTGTATATAACAATAGATGGGCTTCTATATGAATACATTATTGCCAGTGGAATCATAACGGTCTTTTCTCATGAAACATTACTGTGCTTGTGTTTTTGTCAGTTAATTCTTCAGTTTTTTAGGTGGGTGGAGCTTTATTGGAAAATATGATGTCACACTATGGGCCAATCAGATTTCAGTTACACCTAAGAAGTTATGTCCTTGTCTTCCACACAAAGATTTGCTTGACTTGAACAAAATGATTGCACAGTTCGTGTATAGAATGCGAAAATGATTTTGCACATCTTTGACAAAACAAAACAAACAAAAAAAACCTTTCCCCCTGATTCAATGTCCGCTGACTTACTTTTTTAAGGAGATTTCAAATAAAGGTCATGATATGCAGTTGAAAGCACTTCAGCAACTGGTAGGATAACTTAGATTTTTTTTTTTTTGGACAAACTATAGTTTCAACTTCACTTGCTCTGATACTGAGTGATTCATCAATAGAATCATTCAAATATATGAATCATCAAATGTTGCTCATGAAGTTGTGTTTTGCAAAGTAAATTTCTATAGCTGTCACCTCAAACGGAACCTACTTTTAATGTAAATGTATATAGTTACTTTATTGGCTCTTTGTTGTGTTTATGTCACATTTAGCTGGCTGTGCCCATCTTTTAGTGTTTTCCTGTGTTTATTTCATTTGATGTTTGTGCCTCATTCTGGTTCAAACTTAGAGTGTCACCCAGCCAGCACGCTGTCCAGTGATCAGTGTGGTCTCATGAACAATAACATAGCTTTAAGCACTGAGCTCCTGGTTGGATATTTCAGCAACTGATGAATCTTAAATTGTTATAGGAAAATTACATTCTGGATTGATACTCTTAACCTACTGTTGCTTTGATTAAAACATTATATCATACTTAGTATAATTTAAAGCTGGTACTTTCCTAAGTTATTTTGCAGTTCAGTTTAGAAATACAGTTGCTGTATTTCTAGTTTTTATGTCTCTTAAACTGCAGACCTAATGCTGTGAACTTATCTTGATGTTAACTGCTGTCTCACATACAAAGATGCCCTAAATCTCAAAATATGGATGCAACAAGTTTGTGTAGCAGCTTGCTTTGAGGAGATTATTTCCTGGTGCAGCATTACATCTCTTCATGTAAGTTAGAGGTGAGTGACAGTGTACGGAGCACTACATGATTTGACGAAGCACAGTTTGGACATAGAAACACTGGCAAAGGAAGAGCTTCCTGTTTTGCTAACTCTGCCAACTTAAACAACTACCAACACTAACAGCAACATTACCAGAACTAGAAGTTATTCCACATACTGTGAAAAATTACAGTTGAAAAACAAATAACATTCATTGTCACAATACAATAACTACAGGTTCATTTTATGTTTCATATACCCATAATGAACACTCACAATAAAAAAAAAAACAAAAAAAAAACCATAGACTATCAGTTTGAAGTATGCAACAACACTGCTTCCTCTGAAGGGAGAGAGGGAGAGAAACCTGTTAGATTCATCTATGCCTGACTAATTATGCTGTCATGGCCAGCATGAACCCAGCCGACTCAGATCAATTGACGGCAGCCATTCACTCCCAAAACACCTGCCTGAGTCAGCAGGAGGATCAGACGTCCACTCTACATAATGGAGTGAAGGGGCTAGCGAATTGTCAAGAGGATTTCAAAGCCGCCATTACAAGCCAAGTGAATCTCCTGGCAGCCCAGGTACATCAAGTCCTTGCTCACCTCATGAAGGATCCCTCCTCTCCTGATGCAGTAGCCACACAGTCTCCGGCGGCTGCTGGAGCATCATCGCCCCGGTCTTCCATGCCATGGCTCCTCGTCTCTCCCCACCTGAAAAGTTTTCCAGTGAGTCTGGAGAATGCCGGCCTTTCATCATTGACTGCGAAATGTATTATGAACACATGCCATCACCTTTTCCTACAGAACGTAAAGTGGCGTTTATGATTTCCCATCTCACCGGGAGGGCGAGGATGTGGGCTACGGCTGAATGGTCTCGTGACTCATCGATCTGTGGATCCCTTGACGATTTGAAACAGGCTCTGACGAGGGCGTTTGATCCCCTCTTGTCCGACCAAGAGAAAGCATGATAGTTATGTCATATCAAACAAGGTTTAGAATCTGTTTGTGATTATGCCATCCGCTTTCGTACCCTAGCCACTGATACCGGATGGAATGCCACAGCCCTTAATGACATCTTCCTTAAGGGACTCTCTGACTAGTTTAAAGACTTGTTAGTGTGTCTTGATCTGCCATCAGATCTGGACTCTTTGATAACCCTAGCCATTAGGACTGACAACCGTTTACTTGAGCGTCGACAAAGCCAAACGGCGTCATTGGCAGGTCGCAATCCAGGCTGCGCTGCAGCCACTACACCCGGTTCACAAAGTTCCTCACGTTTTCCATCACCAGCTTCACAGAGGTTGGCGCCCTCCGAGGAAGTAGAGGAGCCCATGCAGGTGGGCCGGGCCAAATTGTCCACAGAGGAGCGTCGTCGTCGCCTGCAGGAAGGCAGGTGCTTCTACTGCAGGCAGCAAGGTCTCCTTGCAGCATGTCCAGCAAAAAGAACAGGCTCACCAGAAGACGGGAGGATACTGGTGAGCCATTTTTTCTCTGAATCCTCTCCTCGAGCCTTAACCAAGATCACGGTGAAGCATCATTACACAACAGTTTGTCTTGGGGGGCTTATTGACTCAGGGGCTGATGAGAGCCTCATGAACTGGGATTTTGCCACAAAACTCAATTTGAAAATTGAGCAATTATCCCAACCAGTAGAGGCCAGTGCTCTTGATGGGAGCTCAATATTCTTGGTGACTCACAAGACTGAACCACTGACAGTAATCATTGATGACCACCATGAACTCATGTGTTTTTATTTGTATAGCTCTACACAGCACTCTTTTGTTCGGGGTTTCTCTTGGTTAAAGGAACATAACCCGCACATTGACTGGAGTACTGGGAGGGTTTTGAACTGGGCTAAGAGTTGTAAAGATAAATGTCAAGTCATGCTATGAATGTGAAAACTGTTTTTAATGCTTTCTTTGTTAATTTTGACACGGACTCTGAAACTCCCGACCTGACTTCAGTCCCGAAAAGTAAGGCTGCTTCCCTTCCCCCTCACAAACCATATGATTGTCCCCAGGCCAGCTGACAGCCTTCCCTGGGCCCGGGACAAGATGATATCTCCCCTTTTCTTTGCTCTTCCTCTCCTCACCTGCTCCACACCTGCTCCTCACCTTGCCTCCTCTTATTCTCCTCTATTCTGCTTTCTTTACATCTCTTTGATCCATCCTGCTCAGACTGTCCGACTGGGCAGCAAGCCCCTCCCGCTGCACTTTGACGCTCGCTCTCTCTCTCATCTCTCAAAAATCAATGAGGGTCCAGTTCTAGTGGTAATTTTGAATACCGTGTTGTGCCATTGGGATTGACTAACGCTCCTGCTGTCTTTCAAGCCATGATCAACGATGTGCTTAGAGACTTTCTGAACCACTTTGTGTATGTGTGCTTGGATGACATCTTGATCTTTTCCCCAGATTCAGATTCCCATGTCCACCGTGTACGTCAGGTTCTCCAGCATTTGCTGGAGAACCAATTGTATGTAAAAGTTGAAAAGAGTGAATTTCATGCCAAGTCTGTATCTTTTCTTGACTTCATCATAGCCCCTGGAAAGATGCAAATGGATCCGGCAAAAGCTAGCGCTGTGGCTCAGTGGCGTACACCTGATAGTTGCAAAAAGGTTCAGCAATTCTTGGGATTTGCTAACTTTTATAGGCGGTTTATCAGAAACTTCAGCGCCATAGCTGCACCCCTCCATGCACTTACATCTCCACTGACTCCTTTCCTGTGGTCCTCTCAAGCGGAGGAGGCCTTTCAGCAGCTCAAAGCACTGTTCACTACTGCTCCCATTCTCATGGTTCCTGATCCCAGCCAGCAGTTCGTGGTGGAGACGCCTCCAATAATGGGATGGGAGCCGTCCTCTCCCAGCGCTCTGAAAAGGACAAGAAGCTTCAACCCTGCGCCTTCCTGTCTCGGAAGCTCTCACCAGCTGAGAGGAACTTTGATGTTGGGAACCGTGAGTTGTTGATGGTCAAAACAGCACTGGCGGAGTGGAGACATTGGTTAGAGTGTGCACAGCATCCTTTCATTGTATGGACTGATCACAAGAATCTTGAATATATTCGCAAAGCTAAAAGACTGAACTCATGTCAAGCCAGGTGGACATTATTTTTTAACC